CACTTCATCTTACCACCACAATACAGACGTGTCGCTTACAGCAATGTGTTGAACGACTCTTGTGGTATTGCTGGAAGCTAAAATTAACATGACAGCTCTGGCGTTGAGAAGTTATGTTTCGAGCTGATTGTTAGGTAAATAGTAGCTTGCATGACCCCCAGCAGTGAATGCCACATGGTTCACATAGGTAAGCTATTTAGATAGATGTGGCCTTCAGGGTGTGATAAACTGCTGTAATAGCTGCCAAGGAGAACACCTATACATGCAAAAACAACACCTAAACGAGATTGTGGCACCGCGAGATGCTGCGGCAAGACAACCGATGCGGCGTTAAGCAATATTCAATCACTCACGATATTGTCAACAGTGTTTTGTTTGTTTGTTGTTTAACGCCGTCCTCAGCAATATTCCAGCTACATGACGGCGGTCTGTAAAAAATCGAGTCTGGACCAGACAATCTAGTGATTGATATCATGAGCATCGATCCACGCAATTGGTGCCATCTAGGAGCAAAATGTGATTCCAGCACAGCCGGTAGATCATTTCATTTTCATTTTCTAAATACAATCCATTGATTGACATAATGAGCATCAATATTGGGATACGATGGCATGAATCAACCAAGTCAGCGAGCCTGATCCCCCCCCCCCCCCCCCCCCCCAATCCCGTTAGTCGCCTCTCACGACAAACACGGCTGCTGAAGACCAATTCTAACCCGACTCTTCACGTCTTTGTGGACCATGTGGAAGAACAGGGCGCAGTTGCTTCCCAACAGATACGACCGCCTCCGTGGTCTAGTGGTAGAGCGTCCGCCCGGAGAGCGGAAGGTCCGGGGTTCGATCCCCGGCCGCGTCATACCAAAAGACGTTAAAAGATGGTACTTGTTGTTACCCTGTCTGGCGCTCGGCATTAAGGGGCTAAAACAAGGACTGGTCGGCTCGGAGTCTGTGTCTGAGTGGGGTATTCATGTTAAACTGCGGCATGGTATCTCAGTGGGCTAGCACTATAAATCGGCATCACTCCGGAATAGTACAAGCAGCCACACACACACTATATATAAGTGCAATAATCTTGGACGCGACGTTAAACCCAATTTCACCTCACCTCACCTCACCTCCCAACAGATACCAAGTCAGTCAGTACCTGGGGAGTTGTACCTGTGCAAGGTCTGTGGTATTTGGCCATTGTCGATGGCTAATCAAAGACTTATTGGAAGCATCCGACATGCACCCTAACTCTTTCAATTATGGAATACAAAAATTATAAGACACGAAGTTTCATTCAAGTGTGCCACGGGGAACGTGAAGATGTTTAGATGTACCCTTTGGTATTTAAGTGAGCAGCAAGAACAATAACTGACATCCATTTTCTCTCTCGGCGAATGCCATTTCATCATGCACTAGATAATAAGTTTCTCCACTTCCTTTTCATTGAGATTGATAATACCTGTGGATATCATGTGAACCATGCAGTCCATTAAGCATTCATGTGTTTTCTACTGTTCGTCTGGTATTTGTGCGTGCAGAAGCACATTTACCAGTCACCATGTAATAAACATTTTTGTCTGTATGTTTCTTTGTTGATTAACGCCGCACTCAGCAATAGTCCAGCTATATGACGGCGGTCTGTAAATAATCGAGTCTGGACCAGTCAATCCAGCGATTAACACCATGAGCATCGATCCACGCAATTGGGAAATGATGACATGTATTGACCACCCGATCCCGTTATTCGCCTCTTACAAGCATAGTCGCCTTTTACGGCAAGCATGGGTTACTGAAGACCTATTCTACCCCGGATCTTCACGGGTACATTTTTGTTAAAAATATGATTTCGAAAAGTGCATTTTTTTTTCGTCCATTGGTACTCAACTACAAAGTATTTCGAACCCAAGGCCATCATATTTGTTTGTTTGTTTGTTGTTAAAACCGCACTCAGCAATATTCCAGCTGTATGGCGGCGGTCTGTAAATAACCGAGTCTGGACCAGACATCATGAGCATCGATCCACGCAACTTGGATACTGGGATGTATCAACCAAGTCAGCGAGCCTGACCACACGATCCCGTTAGTCGCCTCTTACAGCAAGCAGTCACCTTTCACTGCAAGCATGGGTTGCTGAAGACCTATTCTACCCCGGATCTTCACGGGTCCAAGGCCATCATGACGTAATCTAGTCAAGTTATTATATTTTCGATTACCTTTAGGAGACATTTCAAGATTGGACCCATGCCTGTTGACCAGTGTCATCTTATACTTGTATAGCCGGATACAATCGTTACTAGTGTGCCTTGACATCACTTTGGAGTGAGTGAGTGAGCAATCGTGCCATTTACTTGGTACGTGGTATTGATAGAGTATTGTTCATGACGGCGTAAAACTACACTCACTCATTTGGAATATATGCGTAGATCGATGCTCATGATGTCAGTCACTGGATTGTCTGGACCAGACACGATTATTTACAGACCGCTGTCATATAGCTGGAATATTGTAGAGTGCAACGTTGAACAACAAACAAACAAACAAAAAATATATCAAATCAATGATCAATAGATAGGTATTACGCAAAGCCCTATCTCCAGAGGTTACGTACGGGTTTGGTAAGTTCAGTCCTGGACACAGTACATGCAGATCCGTATAATAAATACATTATTGTGATGAAAGATAACGCAAGGCGCGGGTTAATTCCATCTCCAGAGAAAGCCATAAATTTAACGACATAACGTTTATACAAACTCTACATACAGCTATATTTGGGGTTGAGAAATTCAATCAACGCAAAGCTCCGTTTTACGCTCGCGTTAATTCTATCTCCGGAGAAAACCCAATATTTAATGACCCCATTATTCTAACTTTACATAAGAATTTCGCGTTTGGAATCAACACAAGGCTTCGTTTCGCTCCATGTTGACAGAAAACCTTACCCCAAAATATACAGCATCCCCAAAATAACCCTTACACATCTCAAAATTAATATGACCGCCTCCGTGGTCTTGTGGTAGAGCGTCCGCCCGGAGAGCGCAAGGTCCAAAAGACGTTAAAAGATGGTACTTTTTGTTACCCTGTCTGGCGCTCGGCATTAAGGGGCTAAAACAAGGACTGGTCTGCTCGGAGTCAGTATACTGTGTCTGAGTGGGGTATTCATGTTAAACTGCGGCATGGTATCTCAGTGAGCTAGCATTATAAATCGGCATCAGTCCGGACTAGTACAAGCAGCCACACAAACACACACACGTACATGCACGTCGCTATATAAGTGCAATAATCTTGGACGCGACGTTAAACCCCATTTCACCTCACCTCACCTCAAAATTAATATAAAGATACTCAGCACCAACACGCTCTTCAGTTTCCCCGTTCAGGGCAGCCATAGCTGTAAAGTCTTGTCACTTTATCTAGTTCATATATTCGGACGTTGTTGATATGTTCCAGTGTGTTTGTTGACATGGGGGCTCGAGCATGTGCCATATATCTGCTGTATACATGTATATGTTAGAATTCCAGACATAGCTGACCAGTATGATTATGTGGGTGTCCTAACACGGTGATTAATGTCTTCGTTGGAACAACTGGTTGGGATTGTAGTTATATAAAATGACTAACTTTTATTACAAAATTTTATGGTTTGCTAATTTCCTGTTAGTCAGTGACTACTCTCGGGTAGTTAGGACTGAAAATAAAAATATATTGTGCAGGATATAAGATGCTGTGTTGAAATATCATCATGCTAAGTTGATAATGATAATGATCTTGAAATTGTAAGATATTAACTTGAAATTTCAACTTATAATCTTGAAATTTCAAGATCATTATCCTTAAATTTCAACTTAGTATATATCTTGAAATTTCAACTTATGTATCTTGAAATTTCAAGAACAAAAAAAAAAAAAAAAATGGCCCACAAATGACTTCCGTACTAAAAGACTTCCGTGAGTTTGTTTACAGTTACATCTACATATATCATATTGTTACAGTTACATGTACATATATCATATTGTTACAGTTACATGTACATATATCCGTTTCTGTCCCAGAAGCCTTTTTTTTTAAACCATAAGCTTTATAGTGACCAGCCAATCTGCCAACAGATGGACATAGCCGAACGAATGATTGGTGACCAGCCTTTGATAGATTATCTTCCATATTTACAGTTATATTTCTTTATCCAACAGAGATCGTGTGTTTACGATGACGGTATAGTTTCAGTCAAACAGCCACTTGTTCAGAGAGATCGAGAGACTGATATGTCAAACATTCAAAGAAATGCTTTTTCTGATTCTGGATTTTGGCCTTGGTCAGTCGAAGTTGTTTATTTTATTTTATTGTTATTGTTCTAAACTGGATTGAACAGGGCAATCACCCTGAATAGACATTTGAGATTCATAGAATGTTTCTGCAGGGTTTTTTGACATTGGTAGAATGGCCGTGAACTGAACAATAAATATCCAAACCAAGGTACCATTCAAGAACTCCGACAGATTTTCCTACTACTGTCAACACCATCCTCGGTTATGGTGTATTTCTCTACCCACAAAACATATCTTTCTAAAACAACATGGGCACACTAAGGTTGTTGAATAACCAGAGGCCACGTACTCCACCCCATCCTACACCGGGATACAAAATGGACGGTCTCTTGATGTAGGCAGCACAACTCGAGCTTCCAACCAACAGACTATACGATTTGTTTGTTTGTTGTTTAACGCAGCACTCAGCAATATGCCACCTCTTACAGCGGTCTGTAATGAATTAAGTCTGGACCAGACAATCCAGTGATTAACACAATGAGCATCGAACTACGCAATTGGGATACGATGACATGCATCAACCAAGTCAGCGAGCCTGACCACCCAATCCCGCTAGTCTCCTCTTACGACAACCGTAAGTTGCTGAAGATCAAGTTTGAACCGGATCTTGGGGACAGACCATATAATGGGAACCAAGTTCCTTCACCACAAAGTATTTACACGACTGTTGTTTACATCAGACGCAACTCACCTGTCTTCCCTACTCCGGGCGTTCCCAGGATGACCAGACGACAATGGCCGTCCTTGGAGTCGCCATTAGGCGGTTTGAGTCTGGTGCCATTCATCTTGTTGCGCTTCTCTTCCACTGAGTGCCGTCTGAGAACGTTCAGATAGCCAGACGACACTTTCAGGCTGTCGTGCTCCTTCTTGGCGGGAAACGTCACACCTGTAACAGACGACACACAGATAAGATAATAATGTCGAAAGTGGGTTTGATGTCAAACGAACTTGTCCTTGAAACACCATTTCAATCTGCAAGTTGCATACCTATGGTTGATTGCTGACCAAATAACAAACAAACAAAGATTAACCTCACCTATCGCTAGTAAACACGGATATTGCTCATAACCGTCTATAAAGCCAGCCCTATCCCAAAAAGAGTTGCAATGTTTTAGCCTTTACATTGTTTGAGCTTGGGTGTTTTTACGCCATGTTTAGCAGCGCTTCGTCAACATTACGACAGGGGATCCCAGGGACTGGGGCAATGAGAAGTGTCCATCTCCATGCTTGAGGAGTTGGTTTTGGTTTGGTTTGTTGTTTAACGCCGCACTCAGCAATATTCCAGCTATATGACGGCGGTCTGTAAATAATCGAGTCTGGACCAGACAATCCAGTGATTGATATCATGAGCGTCGATCCACGCAATTGGGATCGTTGACATGTATCAACCAAGTCAGTGAGCCTGACCATCAGATCCCGTTAGTCACCTTTTATGGCAAGCATGGGTTGCTGAAGACCTATTCTACCCCGGAATCTTCACGGGTCTTCATGCTTGAGGAAAGAAATGGGATCGTAAAAAGTTGATCATTCCACTGGTTTGCCTGGCCAAACCTAAATACTTATCGGAAGGAAGGTCTCATTAATTAGTATCGGGTGGCTACATTGTGTGAGTGACTAAAGGTGATGGTGCCTTGACTGATGGGTCGTTGCTCATGCTGTCAACCATTTTGTCATCTGCTTCAGACTCTATTTGTTACAGACGAGTAAAGAATGAAACTCGAAGTGTTTAGACAGCTTTGTGAGCACGAGCCTCTAATTAGGCTGAGTGGATAAACATGAATTTACGTCACTTCAGGCAACATCTAATCTCATTCTTTGTACCGATGTGGGGAATTGAACAGGGGTCTTGGGCGTGACTAGGGAACGCTATAACCACAAGTGAGTGAGTGAGTTTGGTTTTCCGCCGCTTTTAGCAATATTCCAGCAATATCACGGCTGGGGACACCAGAAATGGACTTTACACATTGTACCCATTTCGGGATTATAAACACAAGGGACCCGTGAAGATCCGGGGTAGAATAGGGCTTCAGCAACCCATGCTTGCCGTAAAAGGCGACTGTGCTTGTCGTAACAGGCGACTAACGGGATCGGGTGATCAGGCTCGCTGACTTGTTTGATGCATGTAATCGTAACCCAATTACGTGGGTCGATGCTCATGATGTCAATCACTGGATTGTCCAGACTCGATCATTTACAAACCGCCGTCATATACCTGAAATATTGCTGAGTGCGGCAGTGAACAACAAACACACAAACAAACAAACAAACACACAAACAAACAAACAAACAAACGACAAGGCTGCCAGACCACAGCGCCACGATTCTAGAGCAACGTCCTGGACAAAATGCATTGATCACGTATAATTTCCATTTGAAGACGAAATCCATAAACGTCATATCACTATCACGTGACATTACACGAAATAATATCACTATAATAACCCCAGTCAATACTAAAATGGAAACGATAACAAAACCTTTTCAACACGTCAAAAACTATCCCCCACGGGGTCACGTTTCTAACACTTTTCGTTTTGAAAGCTCAATTTTATTATATTTAGACGTTATCTAGTAGATTGGCAGCGATATGCAATAAGATGTTTGGATGAAATCATTTCGCCTGCTTATCGAACAAATAATGGCGACACATAGAACCGGAATTCTCCTCACAGCTCTCACTCCAGACTCCACAGCAGCGTTTTTATATAATCTATCTCATCCTTCATCCAGGCCTTCAGTTTAATTCCGACTAATTTGAAATAACAACGTACTTGTGCTGGCGATGTATGAAGTGACCTGATTTGGGTGAATTCAAAGCGCGCAAAAGTAGTCATTATGCGGAACGGGCAACTTCACGTTTCCACCGTGAAACGCTTTTGTGACGGGAAAGCTATCTGCATCGTAATTATTGCCACATAGTTTTGTGAGGACGCTGTCGAAAAAATTGAGGCACTTTACTAAAATCAATCCAAGCTTCGACGCCCTCATTAAGGCGCAATCGAACTAAACATCACATCTGTGGAACATGCTAGCGGTTCCTGGTGCTAATTTTGGCATTTCGTGCATCACATGTGACGTCATAGATCCGTGACTCGCGATACATCATTTGTCTCGTGCAGAAATAGCGTGTAAAGTTTGGAAATCACGTGCAGTATATCGTGATAAGAATAAAGACACTCTGTGGTAACATTTGACTGTTTGTTAGTTTTGTCATTAATTGGTACACATTTGAAACACCTCTTCTAAACGTACATGCGTCTCTGTATGCCTCCATGGTTCGCGTTTCTTTTGGAGGTGAGTATATATAACTCCCATGTTTTGGGAACGCTGCAGGCAACAATAAAAGTCGAGTCTCTAATTACAAATATTTTTTTAGTGGGTCTGTATTTCTCTTATCTAACGAAAATAACTCATTGACATGCAAACGTCGCCCGAAACTTGACAACTCCTATTCCAGAGTTTAAATTGGTTTCGTTTTAACTTATAATTCGAGTGTTGAGAGTTTGTTTAAGTGCTCAGTACCAGTGATTTATTTACTAGCAAGATAAACTAGCGAGGATGAAGATGAAGAATGGCGAGACGTCACCCCGTGTCCACTGTTTCCCAAATCGATTCCTTTTAGTTGCAACGTGTGGATAATTCAGTCAAACAACCACAGTGTTTGCATGTCGAAAAGTTGATTCTTTCAAGAACTGAAACTTGCCATGAGATGAGAATGTAACGAAATAAGGGACACTTGAAAATATCAAGAATATTATCAGTAATGATGTATTTGTTAAAAAAATAAAAAATCGAAACTTCTCAGCAGTGAACAGTGTCTTGATTGACACACGCAAAGTGCAGCCATTAACATACTATTCACACTGCATCCTTTAGAACGATTCGACCTTTGCATTGACATCTAACAAAGATTCTGCCGCACAGATAACGGTTATCTAACGGTATGTGAGTCTTGCTGCTTCTGAAGTTTATTAAAAGCCACTTGTTGAAACAACACTCACCATCATGGCTATTATTTTGACAAGAATAAGTCGATAATGATGGGGAATGTCTTAAACCTGAAATCGACACTCAGCTGTTATTTGATGGATGGCTATTTGCCGTACTACACTTTTTAGTGAGTGAGTTAGTGAGTGAGTGAGTGAGTGAGTGAGTGAGTGAGTGAGTGAGTAAGTTGGGGTTAACGCCGCTTTTAACAGAATTCCAGTTGTATCGCGGCGTGTCAGCTCAATGTGGGAGGAAAACCCGAAGTGATGCAGGTCTCAGACGTTTACCACTTCGGTGAAACCCACGAGCAGGGGTATGGTGCTGACAAACCTAGAAACATAATCGGGGCTAACCGAGATTCGAACCCACAGCCATAGGTTTCTGGAGTGGCCAAGGGACGAAACTTTGTACAGTGAATCGCGGCACCTTAGACGTCTTGGCCACCCGTGTAACCGCCCCCCCCAACACTTTTTACACATGTAGAATAGTAACAGTGGTCAGTCGATCTGCAAATTATATATTTGACCAAGATATTTGTAACCCCGAGCAAGGCTACTGTATAGTGGCATACTGGGGACAAACTTACCTTATCAAGAATATTATCAATACATTAAATATTGCTTCTAATGACTTAAAGTATGATTTAGCTTTGTCATAAAAAATGATTATTATATTTCTCACCGTGTCACTGTGAATGTACACGATTATGTTGTTTGATATAAACCTTGTGAACATGTATTTTCTCGTTACACATGTTCAAGGGTTCGAATCCTAGGTTTGCCTTGGTTTTCAGTCTATGAGTAACAAACTCGCGTGTTTCACTGGAGTGTGAGTGGGTGAGTGGGTGAGTGGGTGAGTGGGTGAGTGAAAGTGTTTCTTTTACGCCGCGTTTAGCAATAGTCCTGCGACGGGGGACACCATAAATGGGCTTCACATATTGTAACCATATGGGGAATCGGCGTTTGTTCCATCACAAATACACAGTGCAATTGCGTCAGACTTGAGATAAGATATTGAGATAATTTAGAAACATGACTTCGAATGTCATCAATAACCTTTGACCTTTTGTCATCTATGTTTTATTTAGGCAACTAACGCACGCGGATTACCTTATATGTTGAGGAGGATATCAAAACATAATATCTAACATAATTTGATCTCTTAACCTTTATAAATATCTTATGCGTAACGGTTCCCATACATGTCTGTGTACACACAAATGCAAACCTGCCATTTATCATGAACACCATCAAGATTACCCATTTAGCAATCGAAACTTGATACGAACGTTGATCCATCAACTGGTTGAGCTTGAACGATTTCATAGAGATTTTTGAAAGGTACATTAACGTCATAATGGCGTACGAACTTGATGACCCTGACTACTGATTTCATATCACGACATCAATTCCCAAGCTTTGCACTGAGCAGTAATCAGTACTGACAAGCGGGATGTGGAGGTTCTTCATTCCTTGTTTACAGCTTTCTCCCACAGCCAGATCCACATCGATCCAAGGTGGTGGAGACGGCGTCGTGTTCATACCTTCGCACAACATCGTTGACGTCACCATCGGTGACCACTACTAGCACCACCTTTATCAGTAGACGATGTCACCTCAGAATATCATGGACATATTTCATACCGTACTGGACGGTGGGGTAGCCTAGTGATTAAAGAGTTCGCTCGGTGCGTTCGATTCCTCTCAAGACTACACTGACTGAAGCCCATTTCTGGTGGCCCCCAAACAACCCCACCCCCACCCCACGCCAAACCCCCGTCGTGATATTCTGGAAAAGTGCTAAAAGCGGCGTAAAACCATACTCACTCATATCGTTATTATTATTATTATTATTATTATTATTATTATTATACAATGTGTTTTACCTCTGTTTGAATTA